TTTTAGATGCTATTTAAAAAAAAAAAAGAAACTAAAATTTTGGTTGCTTAACAACATTGATGATAACAATAACTACACCCATGATGGATGATGACTATAACCACACCCATCTCCGCTGATTGTAAGAAAACATTCCATCATGGCGATGCAGTTTCAAGAGGCAAGAGAAACCAAAGGCAGAATCCAAAATACTACCATGGCTACAAATTTCCCCTGATTCTTGTACCAGTTAAGCAAATTTATACTGACATCTGATTGGATCAAAATGGGTTAAAATATGTATTTAGCCCCCCATCTAATAAATTTGATATTTTTAGTTATTCACCTTATATTATAAAGTTTTTAATTCCTTTGAAATATTTTAGCTTCTAAATTAACAAAATCTATTAACTTTCCATTAAAGGTGAGAACAAAATATTTATAAGATTAGTTTTCAAAGATTAAAAATATAATAATTTAGTTTTAAAAATTAAAAAATTAAAAAATTTAATAAATTAAAAATAATTAATAAATATCTTTATCATATACATAAAAACAATATTAAATATTTATAATCAAATTAAGTAATAACTCAATCTGAAAAGAATATCTTAAAAAGTTTTTTTAATAATATATAAAATTTATATATAAATAAATCTTATAATATTCTAAACATTTTTGCCAGAGAACATGGTAGAAGGTTTTTTTTTTTTAAATTCATTCTTCTTCGTATTTAGTTCACAAGTGAGAAAGAGAAGGAAGAGCGTTGATGTCACTTTCTAAACGTGGGCGTCTGCTGATCAATTGGTAGGAATCTAAAGTCTAAAGTATAATAAAGATGGTAGCATTCTCTCTCATCCGTTCCTGTATCTCTCTAAATTCTATCTCTCATGTTCCTGTAGCTCTCTAATGGGGGACATAGGCATGGGGGGTTATTGTGCGAGGAAAGTAAATTTTTTGACTTTGAGGCGCAGTTAGGAATGGCAAGTTAACGTGGGGAGAAAAATAATGTTTTTTTACTTTGGGGCCAGTTTTGTAAGTGAAAGGTGTCCGATGTGAAGAGGTTTTATTGATTTTTAGGGGTAATTTTGTAATTTAATTCAATTGCCTTTTAGACGTTTTTCATTTTTCTTACTAATTAGGCGAAGGATTGGACATTTTGTCTTTGAAGAGTAGAAATCAAACTTTTCTCCTCGCTGGATTTGGGCACTTTCCGACTTCGATCTACACTTCAAAGAGTGATGATGCAGCGGATAAAAATGCAGGACGAAATGGAGTACGACAGGTGATGCAAAGAGATCAAATTAGTAATTACACTACATACATAAATCTTGCATAATTTATCGTTTCCTATTTTCATCTCGCATTTTCGTCCGCTGCATCATTACTCCACTTCAAAATGTCAGAAAATCTCCAACCAACCACAATCAACTTAAAAGATAAGATTTCATTAAAAAAAAAAAAACTAAAAGATTAGATAACAAAAGGGGAAGAGAGAAGAAAATCTAGCTTAGAGAAGCTCTGAAGGGCAAGAAAAAAAAAGGAGAGGGGGCCGGTTGAAAGAAAAGGAAGACTTGGTGAGAGGGAGAAGTGTTCAGAGAGTGAAGGAATGCCAGAGAGAGGGTAAGTAAGCGGTGTTCTCTCCTCTACAGTCTTTTTTTCTCGTCTATCTTTTTGTTTGATTTGTTGAGAGGTTTTTCTAATAGTTTTTCTGTGTGTTCTGGAAACAAAAGAGAAGATTCAATTAGTTTGCATTCTATTTTGGTAAAATTATATGTTAAGTTCTTGAATTAATTTTAATTGAAACATCAAAATTTAATTGATGTATATAAATCCTTAAACTTCACGGATTGAGCAATTTAACAATTATTTTTACAGCACTTTAGCCTTTATTAGTAGAATAAAATAGTTAAAGAATTAAGGGCTAAATTGCGAAGATCATGGAGTTTAAGGATTTATATGCATCATTTAAAGTTTAGGAGCCCAATAACAAATCTGGAGTTAGTTTAAGGACCAAACATATGGTTTTGGCTTCTATTTTTTCATTGCTATTACTAAGTTTTGGTTCTAATTTGCTTTAAAACTCCAAGCAAAGTGGTTAGTGAGTAGGCAATCAATAAAAAATTTGCTGCAAACTAACCTCACATCTACCAACTTTTTTAATTAGACTAAATGTTGAAGAAGGCAATAAGTTTCAATTTTAAACATTATCAAGTTGTGCCCTGTTTACTCAACTGAACCTTTCTCTGTTTTCTCTCCGTGTTCTTTTTTTTTTTTTTTTTAAAGAGAAAATGGAGGTAGCTCTGAATTTACAAATCTCCATCATTCTTAACATTCTCATCATCTGCACGACTCACCTAGCCCATGGCTTTCAAACTCCTCCCACAATGAAACCGATATACATGCTTTGTTGGCCTTCAAGGATCACATAGAGGAAGATCCATTGGGAGTTTTGAGTTCTTGGAATAAGTTTCTCCATTTTTACAATTGAAGAGGGGTTTCATGCAGCCGAAGACACCAAGGAAGAGTCACTGTCTTGAATTTAAGTGGGCAGAAGTTGGTTGGTTCAATTCCTCCTCATATCGGGAATCTATCATTTCTAAGGCAAATCAACCTTAGCCGCAACAACTTCAAAGGTGACATTCCTCAAGAGATTGGCCGGTTATTTTGACTGAGATATCTCGATGTGAGCAACAATGCCTTATAAGGGCAAATTCCTAGCAATTTGGCATTCTGCTAAGGGATGCGAGTCATTGCTTTCGCCCTTAATAACCTTGTAGGTGAAATCCCTAAAGAATTTGGAAACCTATAAAAAAAGTCTCTACTTTTTTCAGGTCTTTGCAAATCAGTTAACAGGAAGTATACCACAATGGTTGGGCAATGCATCATCACTTACTTTATTAACCTTGGGAAGAAAACATTTTCATGGGAGCATTCCTGCTGAGCTTGGAAGATTTGGAAAATTGGGGATTTTGCAACTTCTTGATAGCAACTTATCCGAAAGTTTTCCACTTTCTATATTCAATCTTTTGTCACTCAATTTTCTATCAATTGCTATGAACCGGTTAAATGGTAAAATCCCATCTAATATTTGCTTTACACTTCCTAATCTCCAATATCTTTTTGTTGGCGGTAACTATTTTTATGGGGAGATACCACCTTCCCTACTTAATATGTCAAAGCTAATAATGGTGAATTTAACATTGAACCATTTTAGTGGAGTCATACCTTCAAACTTACGAAGCCTAAGGAATCTTCAACACCTAGGGCTTGTTGGCAATCAATTGGAGGCTCCTGAAAATGAAGGTTTAGGTTTCGTAACTTCTTTAACCAATTGCAACAACCTCCAAGCGTTGGATTTGGGCAACAACAATTTCAGAGGTGAATTACCTGCTTCAATTGCTAATCTTTCAACAAAGCTTGAGAATTTGCTGATGGGTCAAAATCATATTTCAGGTAAAATTCCTAAGGATATTGGGAACTTGGTCAGCTTAACCTCGTGAGTATGCACGAGAACTTTATTACAGGTGAAATTCCTTTTAGTATTGGTCGATTAGACAAGTTATCTATACTTTATCTATATGAAAATAGAATTTCAAGTGTCATCCCATCTTCACTTGGGAATATGACCCAGTTGCAAGAATTGGTTTTGAATGACAACAATTTGAGTGGCATAATTCCTCCTAGTTTGGGAAATTGTTCCCAACTTGAAATAGTTCCTCTTGACAACAATTACCTATTTGGAATCATACCAAAACAACTCTTGAGCCTATTGTCAATGATTAACCTCTCCATGTCAAGGAATTCATTTATGGGAGAGTTGCCTTTAGATGTGGGTAACATGACCCACCTAGGGGGTTTTTCTATTTCAAACAATAGATTGTCAGGAGGAATTCCAAGCACCTTGGGAATATGTTTGATGCTGAAAGGCCTTTGGATGTAAGACAACTTCTTTGAAGGAAGCATTCCACTTTCATTTACTGCTTTGAAAAACCTTGGAGACCTTGATCTCTCTAGAAATAATTTGTCAAGCCAAATTCCAAAATATTTCCAAAATTTCACTCTATTGCAGAACCTGAACTTGCCTTTCAATAACTTTGAAGAAGAGGTACCAACTGAAGGGATCTTTAGAAATGCAAGCATTATTTCAGATAATGGAAATCAAAGGCTTTGCTGATGTATTCAACAATTAGGACTTCCTCTATGTGAGATTCAAGGCATGAAAAAGAAAGGGAAGTTTCAACATTTGAAGGTGGTGATTTCAATAATTGCTTCATGCTCATTATTCTTGATTGTAGTACTTGCTATTTTTTCATACAGAAAGAAATCCAAAAAGGAAGGTTATCCTGCTGGGCAAAAGAAAGAATTTTTTCTATAGATTTCTTATGCAGAGCTAAGTCAAGCAATCAATCAGTTCTCACCATCAAATTTGGTAGGCAAGCGAAGTTTTGGCTCTGTCTATAAAGGAATTCTAATTGCAAATGAAATGATCATTGCAGTGAAGGTGCTGAATCTTAAACAAAAAGGGGCTGCTAAGAGTTTCTTGGTTGAATGTGAAGCGTTAAGCAACATTCGACATCGAAATTTAATAAAAATCATAACTGTTTATTCAAGTATGGATTTTAAAGGAAGTGATTTCAAAGTTATTGTTTATGAGTTCATGCAAAATGGAAGTTTAGAAGAGTGGTTGCATCCACATGAAATTCAAGTAGGAATGGGAGAATTCAGCTTCATCCAGAGACTAAATATAGCCATTGATGTTGGACTTGCACTTGAATATCTCCTTTACTATTGCCAACCAACTATAGTTCATGGAGATCTTAAGCCAAGCAATGTCTTACTTGATCATGACGTGGTTGCACATGTGGGTGATTTTGGACTATCAAGAATATTCCAAAATAAGAGCAGTCATAGCAATGCTTCTAGAGAACAGAGTAGCTTCATTGGAATAAAGGAATAATTGGTTATATTCCCCTAGGTAAATTTTTCTTAGTTGTATTAATAAAATTTTCACTATTAATCCTCTACTATATTGGATTTACCCTTATGTGGTTATGTGTACCTATTAACACAATGAACAAACAAAATGCAAAATATGGCATGGGTGGCAAGGCATCTATGCAAGGAGATGTGTATAGTTTTGGAATTATGTTGTTGGAGATGATTATAAGAAAGCAACCAACCGATGCTATGTTCAACGATGGTTTCAACATTCACCAATTCACCAAAACTGCATTGCTAGAGAGAGTGAAGGAGATTCTTGAACCCTCGTTATTACAAGAAGTACATGTGACAGATAATAAAGGTATTGAACATTCCAAGGCAAGGAACAACATAAGAAGAACTGGTGTTTTGGAAAGCTTGTCGGAAGTTGCAAGAGTGGGAGTCTTCTGCTCAATGGAGTGTCTAAATGAGAGAATGGAGATGAAACAAGTTGTTGCGGAACTATCTTCCATTAAACACAGGTTTCTTGGTGCGAGGAATTGATACAAAGTCCGTTGGCATGGCTCTTGTTTGTCTTTTGCTTTTTGTTTCCCTTTTTGTTTTTTTAATTGAAATAAACCCCAGCCCATTTCTTAATAGAGGGCCTGGACCTCTTTTAATATGCCATTATGCCATTGCTAGCTTCATGGGCATTTCTGATTAGCATATCAATATATAGCACATTATACATGAAGGAATCTCATATCCCTCTCTAATCTATATGGGGGAGTAAATTTTCAAGTCTACCTTCTTAAAAAAGGAAGTGCAGGAATATTTATCACAAAATTTAAATATTATTAATCAGTCAATATGAATGAGTGATTCATTAAAAGTATTTAAATATTTCACAAGCATTCCTACACCATTTTTTTGGATCAACTTAGAAAAATATTTTTATATAGTATCTAAAAATACTTACTAAGGCAAATAAAATAATTATTATTTTTTTTAGTATGAACCACTTGGTATCCAGAAGTCCATTGGGTTACCAACTAATCCGGATTTAAGTCAGGCAGGACCCAACGGGCGGCAAAGCTCTTTCTCACTAGTTTTAACGAAACTGCATTCTCAGGTTTTGAAACCAAGATTTTTGTTTAAGCTGAAAGAGTCCCCTACTAATTTATCCACCCACTCGTGGATAAATAAAATAATTATTATACTAGTGGCACGCCGCTATCAAACATCTTAATTTCATTGGACTAAAATGTTCTCTCCCTTTCTCTTCCTTCCCTTCAATTTTCCTTTAACAAAACAAGGTAACAATACTAAACTAGTCTTTAGTATCAATTAAAAATATTTTTTTTGTTAGTTTCAGGCATGTTGTAAAGGCCATTTAGGAAGGTACTATTTTAAAATTTTTTAGTACTTTTGCAAATTTTTATTTACAAATATAAATACTAAAAAAAAGAGTCTCCTATCAACTCATCCACCCGTTCGTGGGTAAATAAAATAATTATTATACTAGTGGCACACCTGCTATCAAACATCTTAATTTCATTGGACTAAAAATGTTCTCTCCCTTTCTCTTCCTTCCCTTCAATTTTCCTTTAACAAAACAAGGTAACAATACCAAACCAGTCTTTACTGTCAATTAAAAATATTTTTTTTTGTTAGTTTCAGCCATGTTGTAAAGGCCATTTAGGACGGTACTATTTTAAAATTTTTTAGTACTTTTGCAAATTTTTATTTACAGATATAGATATTAAAAAATGTGGTCATGCGGAAGAGAATATCTCTTCACAGTAGTAGTGATAAAATTAGACCCTAGCATTTTTATCTTTATATAAAAATAAAAAGTAAATGACCATTAAATTTGGATAGGTTTATTTAGTATTCTTTATGCAAAAAATAGAAAGTTTATATTTTGAAACCAAAAAAAGTACTAAATAAAACAACTAAACCAACACGTTGGAATTTATAAATTTCTGAACTAAAGTCCACTCTTGGCCTCTCTCCCCATGCATATCTTTTGTCCCTAAAGAATAAAGAAGGACAAATGTTGCAGAATCAATGCAATAGCCAATAATGGAGGAATATCCACGAACCAAGGCGACGACTTCTACAATTTTATAACTACCTCCATTTAGTTTGAAGTTGAAGCTATGCTTTTCCTTAAAAAAAAAAAAAAAACCCTTTATAATTCAATATCAATTTTAATAATTACTTATTGAATTTTTTATCACATACAGACAATTACATTTGTGATTTTTTTTTGGACATTCAATTGTAACTTTGAACATTTAAAATTTATCATATTTCATTTATGTTTTTAAGATAAATAACTAAATAATAAAATAATTTTTAATTATAATATAATTAATTATAATTTCCAATAACGACCACAATATTTCACATAAATCTCGAAGGCATACAGTAACAAACTAAATTTATGTTAAAAAAAAAACAACACCAAACAGACAAACTTAATTATGCGCTAAGCAAACTTCTCCTTCCTCCGCAACCGCAGCTCCTCTTCCCAATTGGGAGCCCGTTTTTCTCCTCTTCCGTCACCAAGATTTCCATCTTTTCGGTAAGTTTTCCGATAATCCTTTTCAATTTTTGTTAGTATCTCCCTCCATCATGTGTTCTCTTCGTGGCAGCCTCGTAATCGTGTTCTTATTCTTAGAAGTTTGGATTAGCTACTGAAAATTTTAGATTGAACTACCTGGCTATTTTGTTAAGTAATTTGGTTTAAACACCTTCATGAATAGAGAAATTCCTAGAATTTTGTGCTGTAATCAGATCTGTTCATTTCCTTTCTTATTCATGAATCCTTCAAATTCTGGTCAATTATTGTTTGCAAACTAAAAATCATGTGCGTTTTAATATTGAAAACAAATCTGATTTTTCCGTCATTTTTCCCCTGCTCTTCGTGCACTTTGGTTGAGGATCTGGTTTCATTTCGCCATGGATCTTCGGTAAGTTTCAGCTGTTTTAATCTCCTTTACTTTAGCGTAAAATCTGGTCATTGGGCCAACCAGAAATCTGATAAAAAAACCTGTTCTTTTGAACTCAATTTTGACAGCATGACCTTGATTCGGTATTTTGGCCATAACTGATTATTAATTCCATATAAAGCTAAGAGACAGAGATACAATCCATATGTTGGTCATTAAACCCAGAATGGTCATTTTCTAAAAGAAAATTATTACTACACTTTTATTTGTTCAACATTACTACTAATATCTACCGATACAAATATTAAAATATATAGTTAAAAGTTTTTCATCTGAAATTTAAATTTAAAAATAATAAATTTTTTAATAAATGTATTAAAGTATTAATTATTATCCTTCCTAAGAAGTACTGGTTCAGGATGTGACCAGAACTTCCTCTGAATCTTTTGTGGCGGTTAGTGACTGCAAGGAGCCTTGATTTAAGGCTCTAAATTATGGTAAGTTAATGCAACTTGATATGTTTAAGTTGGATGGTGTTATAAAAATAATTTTTTTAATATATTTTTATATTATTTTTTATATAATTTTTATATGTTATTAAATGAGTAAACATATTTAATATCATGGGTTTCATATGAATTAAAAGAACCAATCATTTAAATGATAAATTAAATTGTATAAAAAAATAAAATAAAAAGATTGTATAAAAATCATTTCCCTTTTAAGTTAGGCATGAAATCTGGCTGGTTATGTGAATAAAGTCTGAATTGATTTGGTATTAAAAATCTGGCTATTTCTAGCCGTTACTGAATTTTCTTAAATAAAGGTAATGGCTTGTAACCGCCTTCACCTTCAAGGTATAAATGCTCCATTAAATTTAGGTGGATTTTAATTGTTTGTAATAGCCTTAAGTTCTACCCAAGAAAGCGTGGATGAGTTGGCAGGGGATTTTTCCATCTTAATCAGAAACCTTGATTTCAAGTTCTGAGAATGCAACTCCGTTAAAACTTGTGAGGAAGAGTTTTACCGTCTGTTGAGTCCTACTCAGCTCGAATCTGGATTAGTTAGTGACCCAGTGGGCTTTTGAATACTGGGTGGTTCATATCAAAAAAAAAAAAAAAAAGCCTTAAGTTTTAATTGTTTGAGTTAAATTCTAGTGAATTTAATTGATTAGAGAAATTAAAAAATTACAAGACAATCTAGGATTTGGGTTCAAATCACTAATAATGGGTTCAGTTGATCAAAAAACTAATAATGGTTTCAAATCATTTTCACAGAACTAGGAAGAACTAGGGTAGTGTTTGTACTTCAATAATAGGATTTGAACCAGTTCCATTTAACCATTAACGTGCAGATTGGATTAGGAGATGAAGAGTTAAGAGTCTTAACTAGAATACCATAAATATGGTTGTGATTGTGTGGTCTTTATCATTGTTTAGGTTCTTGATCATTCTTGTCAAGTTAGCTCTTCGTTCTTGTGTTTATCTTCTTCTTTTGTGACATAAGATAAGTAAATTTATAGTTTTGTGCTTGGTTTTAAAGTGAGCTTCAAAAGCATGAATTTGAACTATTTGAGGTGGTGGGACTTAACATAGTTTATATGACTAGCATGGTGTGATAGTGATTTAAGATACTTGGTTTTATATTTTCTGAAAAATAAACATGCCTATTTATACATGATTTGCTAGTAATGCCATATTGCTTTTCTTGAGATAAATGTTCAATTCAAAAGAAATATGCTTTATACTTCTTGCATAATTTTATTTTTGATATGAACATGATTCTATACCTACTAGTGGGATGTTTCTAAATGCTGGCCATGTTGTTATGTTTATTTGTAAACTAGTTCATTTCTATTATTTAGAGTGTGAATTATATGCCCGCTAGTAGGAGATATTAAACACTGGTCATGACCATAGAGGATATCACTTATTGATTTTCCACACATGGCATTTTGTTTTATTTTCCTAATATTTTTGACAATTATTAGTTGCCATGCCTTACTGTAAATAAAATAATAGGATATTGTAATTTACTTATTGAGGTTATCTCACGTATTTTCTTGTTCAAATCAAGTGACACCTTATGACTAGTTTATTTGGATGGATGTTTAGTTATGATTTAGACCTCATATTATGATGACTTAATATAGTTGAGGATATTTCATTATTTCAACTTAGATATAATGGCTTGGATGTCGGATTATTATTTGAGGTAATATCATAGATATTGAACTTTGTTGGAAATTCATAATGTATTAAAAGGTGTTTGAGCTTTGTGCACTTATAGGGTCCACTCATAGATGTACGGTGCTTGTTCCATTTTTCAGTATAGGGCGTGATACTATTATTTTATCCAAACTCTTCAAAAGTTATAATGATGTTTAAATAATTAATATTTAGAAACTATGGCTCATTTGCCGATAGCACATGCCAAGATCCAAGAACCAGTTGATGCCTTAGCCACCCTTGCTTCTATGGTTCAAATTTCTTTGAAGAAAAAAAATCAAGCCTTTAAAGATTGACACTCATCAAGAACTAGATCACTCCGTGGAGATAGAAGATGTTGAAATGCCTTGGACATTAAGCATTCCCGACAATACCAAGAATACCTATCTCAAGCTTCCTAGGTTGATAAGAAAACCATAAGAAGACTAGCAGGATCTTACTTCCTCAATGGGAATACTTTATATAAGCGGTCTAATGACATGGCTTTTTTGAGGTGTGTTGACCAGTTAAACAGAAGCCATGCAATATATGCCAACAGTTACATTCTTAGAAGAAGAATCCTTTG